AATTTAAAATCGAGCCAATAGAATCATCCATTTCAGCTGAGTTTCAAATCGACTTTGACACGGCCCGCAATGCTACCGGGTAGCACGACAGCACCGCCGTTCGGGAGTTAACTTCAGTGACCATGAGCAATGGTCACGACCGAGAAGTATGGACCCGCTCATTGCCGAGCTCACGGACAAGGCTTGCGTCGCCGACGGCGGCGTCCAGGAGGCCAGCCTTGACGCGCTGGTTGCGATTCTCACCCGCGTCGGCGCCAAGGTCTCGGCGTGGACAGTGCGCGCAGTGGAAGACGCCCTTCGCAGCATCCTCATCACGGACGACGACCTCCGGCGTATGCGCGCGGGCAACGGCCTCGCCCTCGCGCTCTCGCTCGGCAGCGCATAGCATGGTGTCTGGATGGTCCAGGAGCTCGTGCAGCCGTCGACGGAGCTCTGGACGCTTCGCAACTCGGTAGCGCTGGTAGCATCGGGCTTGCTCCGCCTCTCGCCGGTGCCGACGTGGGTTGCCACCACGCTTGCGGCGCCTGTCGTCCCGACGCTCGTGGTGCTCGCTTGCGATGAGAACTCGCTCGTCAAGTTGGCTTCGCAGTTAAGGTCGACGCGGCACTTGTCTCGGCGCTCGCTGTGGGCCTCACGGACGCCACCAACAAGGCCGTCAAACACATAGCGATGCGCGTCGTCAAGCGCCTGACCAAAATCGCCGCGAAGCGTGTGCCCGAGCATTTGAATCCACTCGGCCGCCGATTTTTGCGCTCATCAAGAGCCCAAAATCAACATCAAGCTCGGTACCAAGCGTGCGCTCTTGTACGTGCTCGAGGTTGCGACGCGCCCCTAGACCCTCGCGGAGTACCTCGCAAGCGCCGAGCAAGGCAAGCTCCTCGTCGAGTACGCCCGCCGTGTTCCCTCCAATCTCATGCTCAAGCTCAACGAAGACGACTGTGACGACGAAGGCGCCAAGTAGAAACAAGTGCGTACTAGCTGCCTATAAACGCAACTCAAATAGCATATCCAATTGCGCTCGTATACTC